TAACAGTCATAATCTTTCATGTACTAGATAATAAAAGAGCCAATCACACAAAGTAAAATTCCTAGAATACAAAAAGATCACACACATATACAAAACCACAGACTATGATCTTACTATATACACTCAGACAACCACATACAAAAATGTATGTTTATATAAACATATGTACATGTAGACATGTATGTATTTCAAAATATAATATAGCTATCACATAAAATAGGAAAATCTATAGAATATTTAAATAATACCATTAACAAACTTTTGGTAATTTTAGATTTTATAATCTACAAATGTAAAAGTATACATTCTTCTTTTTGCCTATGAAACATTTACAAGAATGAATCATGTACTTGTCCAGGAAGAATACCTTAAAAATTCTAAAACACTTGGAATGAAATAATTTTTAAACATTGTTTATGAAATTTTGTTTGTTATGAAAAATTGTTTATGAAATACATGGAAATTGATATTTAATAGATGATTCACTAATTCCACATGAGGTTAGGATTATAGAAAAAAAAGAAAGTTGAGTCACCCTAACCCCCTAAAAGAATAACTATTTAGAAATTAAGAAAGACCTTTGTAAAGCCCCTAGAACAAACAAAAAAAGTAAAAACTGCAAGTAAAACTTTTTTGACTTAAAAAAAAGTGGAGAGTAAGAGGATAATATTTCACCAAAAAGCTATACTTTAAAGATGAGCAAAGTGATAAAAGCACAGGAGAGAGCATATATATCAATTTGTTTTATTCAGCAAAATTGGCATTTCAATTCCACTAGCAAAGAATGCTTTCAATAACTGATCCCAGCATAACTGACTATCCATCTATTAAGAAAACAAAAGTAGGTTTTCTTCATAACATATTAAAATAAATTCTAGGTTAATTAAATATTCAAATGTAAAAGAAAAAAGCAATAAAAATATTTGGAGAAATTGTTTTAATGTTTTATTTATTTCTGAGAGAGAGAGAGAGAGACAGCGTGAGCAGGGGAGGGGCAGAGAGAGAGGGAGACACAGAATCTGAAGCAGGATCCAGGCTCTGAGCTGTTAGCACAGAGCCCGATGTGGGGCTCGAACCCACGAGCCTTGAAATCATGACTTGAGCAAAGTCAGACGCCTAACCGACTGAGCCACCCAGGTGCCCCTATTTGAAGAAACTTTTAAAACTTATCTGTATAATCCTGGAATAGGGTAGGAAGCACTACATAAATGATCTCTGGTCTAAAGGAGTTCACAGTCTAGTGGTATAATAACGCAAACAAATACATTAGGGTTAGGGATCCACTGTGTTATTTTTGAGATAGAAACAAGAACTCTCACGGCCCAGAGAAAAATTCTTGGCTCCACCTTCTAGGGTGGGCATAGGGAAGAGTTCCCAGAAGGAACACTCTGAGCTGAATCTTTAAAGGAATCTGGCATTCTGATACTAGTGAGAAATTCAATACAATCCAAATGCAGTGAATGTAGATGTTGAAGAGGGACTAATTTGTGAAAGAGCTTATATGCAAAGCTAAGAAGTCTTAACTCAACCTCAGGTAGGCTGTAAGCAAGAGAAAGACAGGATTGCTTTATTTTTTAGCAAGTAACTGTGAAGAATAAATGAGCAAAAGAATGATGGTAAAGAGAGAAAAGTTAAGAGGCAGTCAAACAGCCCAAATTAGAAAAGATTAACTCAAGAAGGCACATGGGTGGCTCAGTCAGTTAAGCATCAGATTTTTTATTTTGGCTCATGATCTCATGGTTTTGAGATTGAGCCCTGGGTATGGCCTGCTTAAGATTCTTCCCTTCTCTTCTCTTCTCTTCTCTTCTCTTCTCTTCTCTTCTCTTCTCTTCTCTTCTCTTCTCTTCTCTTCTCTTCTCTTCTCTCCTCTCCTCTCCTCTCCTCTCCTCTCCTCTCCTCTCCTCTCCTCTCCTCTCTTCTCTTTTCTTCTTTTCCCTTCCCTTCCCTTTCCTTCCCTTCCCTTCCCTTTCTCTCTCTCTCTCTCAAAAAAAATAAGACTAACTCAAGATATCATAAGATCATATCATATCGTACTCTTCTGCTCCTCCTTACTAACAGAATCCTAATTTTAAGTAGGATAGCGTTGGATGAAGTTCACAGTCAAGGTGCCTCAGCCTCTCCTGCAGCTAGGTATGTTCATGTGGCTAAGCTGTGGCTGGTGAGATATAAGTAAAAGTGCTCTATGGAATATCCAGGAAAGTTCCTTAGAGAGAAGGTACTCCATTTCCATTCTGTCTTTCCTCTGTCTTCCAGATTGTCAGAGGACATGGTGTTTGATAGACACGAGGTAAACTAGAAAGTGAAAGCCATTTGTTAGGATGATGGCTTCCTGAAGATACTAAGAGGACATCTTACTATAGACTTTTTTGCGAGCAAGAAATGTATTTCTGTCTTATTTAAGCCACATGCATCACACCTAATCCCAACTGATAAAAATAAATATTAATGTTACTGTAATGAGAAACTCCTACATTTAAGGAGTGATTATAGAAGGAATTGCCAGTTAAAAAGACTGAGAAAGGTGAGACAAATGGGAGTGATGTATATAACAAAAACCAAGAGAAAATGCAGATTGAAGAGGTAAGGTGGGGACAATGGCAGCAGATGTTTAAAAGATGTCAAGCAGAAGCAGGCTTGAATGTAGGATATTAAATTTAGAGAAGACAAAGTCCTTGCTGACTTTAGAGAGAGAAATTTCAAGAAAGTAATAACTGAGTGAAAACCAAGCTGAGCTTCCATTGTGAATGAGAGTCACAGGAGTTAAATTAATATTTAATTTTGGGAATAAGGGAAATAGAGCAACGAGTTAAAGATAAAATGGAAAAGACATGTTTGGTGTCTCTTCTCACAACAAAACTATATCTCCAATAATCGTGATTCTGTTAATATTGGCTATTGTTTACTAAATTAAAAGAGGTTGTCCAATCTTTGCCAATAAACTCAAAGCTTTCAAAATAAAAGAGAAATGAATGGCCTTTTGCATTCAGCATCACTTTCATTAGGGGACCTGACTCTGTCCATAATAGCAGGACAATCTGGAAAATAAAATACTTCCTACCCCCAACTCAAATTCTATGCAGGCATATGTGTGCATGTAAATGGGGCAGGTATAGAGGTAACATGGAACACCCATATCAGAAATAAATGAAACTTCCTTTAATTCTTTTATTTAAAATATTAATTTATATTTGGGAGAACACAAGCGGTGGAGGGGTAGTGAGAGGGAGACAGAGGATCTGAAGCCGGCTCTGTGCTGACAAGCTGACAGCAGCTAGCCCATGTGGGGCTCAAACTCACCCACCTTGAGATCATGACTTGAGCCAAAGTTGGATGCTCAACTGACTGGGCCACTCAGGTGCCCTGAAACTTCTTTTAATTCTGAAAAAATTCTTATCTCATTATTCTAATATTTGGAAATGTATTCGTATCAAGGATTTTTTTTTAATGTTTGTTTATTTTTGAAAGAGAGAGAGAGAGAAGGGCAGGAAGAGAGGGAGACACAGAACCTGAAGCAGGCTCCAGGTTTTGAGCTGTCAGCACAGATCCCAACATGTGGCTCAAATCCACAAACTTCAGGATCATGACCTGAGCTGAAGTCTGCCGCTTAACCAGCTGAGACACCCAGGTGCCCCAAGGATTTTTAGCTGCACATAAGAAAATGCAAAAGTGCTGGGGCTTCATATGTGACTCATTGGCAAGCCATTGTGTTCATCTTCAGTCTGCCCCCCAGGCTCCAGCCTCTGTCCCTAGACTGCCTGCTTGCTTGCTACCTTCTTTCTTTCCTTCTTTCTTTTCTAGGATAAAGGAAGCTGTTACACTGGTGTAGAAACCATGCAAATGAAAGCAATATACCAGGAACCCAGGGTGCTTGCAATATTTTAATAGCTTTTCAAGTGTACATGGAAACTAGTTCTCACTAGAAAGAAATTTGAGTTAAAAATTAGGGGCAGGAGGGTTACCTCAGTCAGTTAAGCAAGGTTAACCAACCAACACTTGATCTCAGCTCAGATCATGATCTCAGTTTGTGAGGTTGTGAGGATTGTGAGATGAAGCCCTGCATCAGGCTCTACACTGCCTGCTTGGGATTCTCTCTCTCTCTCTGTCTCTCTGCCCCTCCCCTGCTCAAGTTCACGTGCTCTCTCTCTCTCTCTCTCTCTCAAAATAAATAAACATTTTTAAAAATGAGGGACAGGAGCCAAGTCCACAAAGAACAAAGATGCAACATACATCAAATAAAATATTGGCCAATGTGCATATTTTGAGTCTATGAATTCAATATATGGTAATAGTATTTTTTGAATACTTGTAAGTATTTTAAGGACTTTTTAAGAGTCTCTGAGATTGTTTTTAGTTACAAATCTTTTAATATTTTCTAACATTTATTTATTTTTGAGACAGAGAGAGACAGAGCACGAGCTGTAGAGGGGCAGAGAGAGAGAGAGGGAGATACAGAATCTGAAACAGGCTCCAGGCTCTGAGCTGTCAGCACAGAGCCTGATGCGGGGTCCTAACCCATGGACAGTGAGATCATGACCTGAGTTGAAGTCGTACGCTTAACCAACTGAGCCACCCAGGCACCCCTTAAGGATTTTAAATGCATTTTTTCATGCCATGTGTTTTTGAAAGAAATCTGTTAGACTCTGGGGAAAAAGTTAAGTATGTATTATGGTCTTCATTTAAGGCTTAAAAAACAGATTTCTATTTCTATTAGGAAAGAATGCTTCTCCTGCCTTCCTGGATTTGCTTGCTAACAGAGATAATGAACAAAGTGCAGCCATTGTTTAGTTCAGTGATTTGTAATTTAAAGTATTGGTTTCAACCTATTCATCCAAAATGGATGAAATCACTTTTTTACTTTACAATGGCCCTAGAGAGTGTGGGAGAGAAGTTCTCAAAACATCACCCTTACGGGGTGCAGAGAGAAGTATCCACCTGACCCCTTCATGATGTTCTGAATGTCCCTTGGTGTGTCCTTACAGAAATGTTAACACCCACAGAGCTACTTTAAAGATAAAAAACTCACATAACTTTATTTTTTTAAGTAGTAATATGTCTCAGTTACATTTAGATACAGTACACAGAATAATAAAATAGCACCTGTGAATTTTTTTAATAGATTGTAAAGTATCTTGACTCCTTTATCTTTCTTATTCTTTCTCCCCTTCACTAAGCAAAGAAAACAGATTACTCTCCCCTTCCCTCCTATTGGGTCACCAGCGGTCTGATTTTCATGCGAACAGCCCTGAGGGAATAATCTGCACCTCTGAAGGGAGCCCAGACCACTCCATTCTCAATCTCATAAGGACTGTTGTTCCTTGGGTCATAGGAGCCCCCAGGGTAGTAGATGCCATTGAGATTGGCCCCTTGGCAGCTGTTGTACCACCAACCTCCCCCGTAGACTTCTGCACAGTTCTCTTCCCACAGGTCTGCATCCCTGTCATAGGTGCTGAACTGCATGCCTGCATGAGAAGTATACTCTGTTCCTTCCTCTACGGAACCCTCAATCAGAGCATCGCCTGCCGTGCCCTCGTAGGAGGAGACCTGCAGGGTATAGCCTTCTGCCTCAGAGCCTACCCTCAAGTGATATTCCGCATAAGCCAGATTCCCAGCCCAGTCCTCTAATTCAACCCGAAGGACAGAGCCCCTCAGGGTCAGTAGGTGGAGGTATTCATTGCCTAGCCAGAATTCTCCTTCACCCTTGTCATCCAGACTGCCGAAACCTCTCTTGTAGTCTTGCCACGTCCGGTTAAAATTCAGTGATCCATCCATTCTTTGCTGGATCAAAAGCCATCCTCCCAAACTTGTCTCTTGATCACAATAAACAGAAAAAATCTTACTGGATCCCGGTAGCTTGATATTGAAAATACCACTTTGGGCACCTGAAGGATGTGTTTGGAGGACATCATCACAGTCTAAAAAAAAAATTAAGCTGGTTGGAAGAAGTTACTCTCATTTAACTTTACAAAGATAGGCATGGCCCAGATTAAATGAAGGTAGATACTAGCTTTTTCTTCCTTCCTTCCTTCCTTGCTTCCTTCCTTCCTTGCTTCCTTCCTTCCTTGCTTCCTTCCTTCCCTCCCTCCTTCCTTCCCTCCATGGGGAAAAGATGCACTTACACTGGGATGGAGCTTAAGCAAGTGAGCAACATTTACACCTACAAATTGCAAAGGGGATTTTCCTCAGTGGATTTGAAATTTTTCTTGCAGGTACTGATAATAGCAAGTAACCAGCAATGATATCTAAGTATCATTTAGTGCTAATATAACTTGTTTTTAACCTGACCTCAATGTCAACTGAGACACACACTAAAAATATGATTAATAAATTGGGTGACAACTCCAACAGCACACATTTGGAATGGTGAAAGAATTTGGCTAAGCAAATTCAAAATCGAGTTTCAGAAAGATTCATTCATTCATTTAACACGTTATTTATTGAGTGATGACTCTCTGCACTGTTAGGCATTTGGGAATACAGAGATGAATACGATAGACAAAGTGCCCGCCCTCCTGGAACTTACAGTCTAGTGCCAAAAAAAAACCAAAAACAGAAAAACAAAAGGTGTTATTTCGATAAGGTGTAAAAGAGGGCTAGGAAAGAAGTTCAAGGTGCTATGGGAGGCACCAAAGGAATAGTGAACTTAGTCTAGGGGGTCAGGGAAGGCTTCCCCAAAGGAGAAGTGTGGATACCTCTGGCAGGGCGAGCTTTAGCATGGCCTCTTTTGGTGGCATATGCTTCTCTGAAGACTTCGTGTTCCGCTTCACTTCCGGCCTCACCTGCCACTTTAAAGCTCTTACTTTCAAATGTGGAGTCTCCTCTGTTGTAAACCTTACTACTGGTTACCAATTGTTTGCTGTGAGTTGAAGTTTTACCACTGGAAGGGAGCTCACGTTCCCCTAAGTGTGTGAATATGTCAGATTCTGAGCCCATAGACTGGGTCTTACGTTCAAACTCTCTTAACGTAGGCGTGAGTACACTTGAGAATTTGCTTCCAGTCAAGGCAGATTCAAAGAAACTAGTCAAATCAGGGTGTCTAGAATGGAGATCATCTAGGCTACCAGAAAACGTATGGGACAAGTCACAATCAGAAGGATCTTCAGAGTTCACCACTTCTTTGATCACTTCTTTGCGACCATCAGGACCTGTAACTGTCTTAGTGACAGTTTTAGAGCACGAATGACGAGTGGTGGTCGTGCCACCAGAGGTGACCTTCTCATTACCAGTAAGAAGCTCTTTTTCTCCTTTAGAAGTGACCAGTTTACCCGTGTGGTACTCTTTCTTTGTCCCTGGAGATACGCTTCCTGACACCTCTTCAAATATGCCCCACTCATGCTTGGTAGGCCTGGTGTCCCCACGCCCTGAGCTGTCTGGCCTAAAACTTCCAGGCTGAGAACTTCCAGTGCTCCAGGAACCCGTACTCTCAGTGTGCCAAGCACCCCCAGTGCTAGCTCCAGAGCTGCCAGTGTTCCAGGAGCCAGCACTGCCAGGTCCAGAGCTCCCGGGATTCCACGTGCCCGAGCTTCCGGGTCCAGAGCTCCCAGGGTTCCAAGCACCCGAGCTTCCGGGTCCAGAGCTTCCGGGTCCAGAGCTTCCGGGTCCAGAGCTTCCAGGTCCAGAGCTCCCGGATTTCCTAGGGCTTTCAAACACTGATCCTGTTCCATGAGACACAGAGTCTCCTGGGACATTCCCATCTGGACCAGTCCGCTCATATGTTATTTTCATCTGTGGCATTGCCATGAGTGCCTTCCACTCTAGAGGGGCCTTCTGAAGCTGCTGCTTGTACTCCACAGGAACTGTATCTGGAGCTGTGCCCATTTTTAGCCGTGGTAAATATTGCGTATCTCTAGGGGGAAATAAGTCTTTGGCTATGACTTGTTCAAGTTGCTTCTGCTGATCTTCATAGTACTTTAGATCTGTCCTACGTTCCAAAGCTCTACTGCATGAGCCTTGGCAAGATCGGATCTTAATATCGATGTCCACCTAGAGAGAGGGGGAGAAAGGTAAAGAAAAGGGGTAGATATAAATAAGAAAATTATGTCTATTGAGTTCTTAGCATTTGATTTATTTTTTGAAAACTGGTGTCATTTCTTTGACTTGGGACCTACCAATCAATACTCATTTTTTCATTTATGTCGTGCCCTCAGTGGAAGAGATGTTGGGTATGGTAAGGTTAGCCTGGATAAACAATTGGAGCTATTTGGATTCATCTTAGTCTTAAAACAGATCAACAGTAAGGTACTATTCCCTCTGAAAGGAAACACTAATGAATTGATCCTCAGTGAGATTCACATTGAGGATTCAGAGGCAGGTGGCATCAAAGCTTTGGAACAAGACAAGCAGGGATTTAATATTTGCTTTTGGAATTTACTGTCTCTGTATCCTTGGAAAATGTATTTAATATCACTGAGCTTTTTTGCTTCATCTGTAGAGTGGAGAAATAATACCTAATTTAGTAGTTGGATAATGGATATAACTCCTTGCTCTACATATGGTAGACATTCAATGAATTCCCTTCCTGCTATTCAAAAACAAGGACATTCTGGTGGCAGAGTCACAAGCTTACTCACCTCCAATCGCTTCATATCTATCAACTGATCCCTGACATTTTTCTGCAGAAGTTGGATTTGCTGTACTTGTTCTATGACTTTGCGCTTCAGGATCTCAATTCTGCTTCTCAGATCTTCTGACACTTGGCTAAATGTATTATCATTGTCTGAAAAAAGAAAACATGGATACTGAAGTATCTGCTAAGTACTTTGCTTATAATAGCCAGGAAAGAAGGAAATTTGCTTATAAATACATTCCCCTTTAAAAATAATTTGTTCTGTGGACATTTTATTTGTGAGTTCCAAATCATTAGGCATTTTTGGACAGTATTATGTCCTTTAGTCATCCATGGCTGTCAGTTAAGATGCCCTCTAGCAGTTAGTAATTCAAATAGATGCAGAAGAAAAAATTTGGAATTTTAAAGGTGTAATTGGGAGATTAAGTAGTTTGATCACATTTCAATTATTTCATCATATCCTTAGCCAAGAGTCTTAAACATATTCTTGGATTTTTTACTTCCTACCTACCCATTTGAAATTGCTCCTAAGCTTTTTAAAAATTTATTATTATTACTTTTTAGGTCAACATGGTCATTCACTTGCCATTATTGTGGTTGTACCATTGACATTAAATTAGTTAAGTGTCTTCTAAAGATATAAAGAATTACAGCAAGGCTTCAGTAACTGGAGCCTCACTAAACTTGCTTCCCACGCCAGAGCAAATCTAGTGTTTCCTGGTCCTAAGGCTAAGTCATAGCCCTATGAGAAAGATAGAACTTGGCTCTATATTTTAAATTAAAAACAAAACAAAACAGAACATAAAGAGCTTGGTGGAGTCTGTGGACTGAACTCCTAGCTCCATCACATGATAGGTTTCTGTCTTTGGTTGAGTCTCGTGATCTCTGTTTCCTTCTCTGTAAGAGAGAAACAAAAATATCTACTCAAAAGGTTGTGCTCATCTTATTTTCAATATATATTCTTAAAAAAGAGCACACTTAAGGTCTACTCTTCAATACCAAACTCTGGCTTTGTGACTTTCAACAAATCTAAGCTAACCTTTTTTTGTGTGTTATAAAAATAACAAAAGCAAGCCCTTCCTTAAAATTTGGGACTATCATAAGTACCTATGTTTCTATCTTAAGTACTTTGGGAAAAAATTGAAGTTGTTATAAGGCAACAGCATATTTATTTAGGGCTTTTGTTGTTATTTTGTTGTGTGCTATAAAGTCAAAGCACCAAGTCTGTAATGCTTACTGTTACTGGTGGCAAAATCCCCTCTCACAAGTTCCATTATATTCGTTGTCACTGAACTAGAGTCTTTATTGTTCTTCTGATAATCAAATAGTGAATTTTTGAGCTTATTAATTCTGTTTGTAAAATCTTGATTGACTTCATCAATTAACCCTTTCATCCTGCAGCCGGAAGGGCATCTGTAGTTCTGGAAGTGAAGAGGAGAAATTACATTAAGGGTCTGTATCTTGCATCTAGCACAATTTTGAAGGTTCCCATGCAGCCCCCATTGCTCCCCCTGCCCCCACCCCAATATCTTTAGATCATCTATTGACTTAAAAGCAGTTTAAGAGGACTAGTCCTGAGTCAATAGAGAGATTCTGGAATGAAGGTCCACTTAACCATAAATTAGGCACCAGAAAATCTTGAGGCCTGAATATGCAACTAAAACCCAGTCTGTTAATCCCACTAATGACCCAGAGTTTGGGAGGTAATTTAAATAGTGCTGTCAGAGCGAAGTTGCTTTCCATATGTCTTCTTTAATTTGGCATGTAATGAGCTATTAGATTAGTTCACATTGGAAAAGTTTTCTGGGACCTACTGGGCCAGCTTGTGCACAATTCTAGCCCCATCCCCTATGGCAACTGCTCACCCAATCTTCATCAGCACAGAAGGGCCAGTCTGTCTCTTTGCAGTCAGCGTGCTGTCTTTCCACAAGTCTTGGGCCACGCACACCTCCTCCTTCAGCTATAAATTCACCTTTCGGCTCATCTGTGGTCTTCAAGGATTCATTCATACACACAAGAGAGAACACCATTAGGCAGATTAGGAGAAGACACCCATCATGCCTGTACATCCCAAGAGAGAAGGCTCTCACAGAGATGAAGAACACCAGTTTGGGGGCCTCTGCAAGTTTCAGAAATCAAGCTTTCTTAGATTTTGATTAATAATCCCAATACCCATTTCATGGAGTTGTGGGAATTAAAGGAGATAAGGTAAAGACATTTTTTTAATTGCGTTTGAGACAAAACAAGCATTTAATAAATGGTAGGGGTTTTAAAGGATTTATTATATAAGGAAAATTATTTGAATTGACAAAATTAGTTAACATTTACCTTTTCATTGTCATTTACCTTTATCATTTCATTATCTATCAGCATATAGAAAGGTAATTGAAAAATTCAGAGTTCTTTATCCTGTAATTGCTGTTTCAGTAGGAAAAAAAACCAAACCAGCTTAGCTTAGTGTCTTCTTCAAGTCTCTACTTTGACCCTATGGTTCTGTAATTGGAGCAAGTACATACCACAGGTACAAAGATGGCCAATTCAGACTGGGAAATGCTTTGTAGGCTACCCATTCATGTAAGAATTTCCATTTATTTGTAAAGAAAAAGACTAGACTGAAAGCAAAAATAATGGTCCATAACTGACAACTTTTTTGAATACCTTCTAATTAGAAATATAGATTTTTAAAAATTTTCTATTGCGATCTATGAGGTAAAATAGGACATAAAAACATTCTTCCAACAGGAATTTATATCCTGATAAATTAACATGGGTTTTAAGTTTTAGCTACATTTGTTTTGTATCACCAACTTACAGGGATTTTGCTATAACTATTTTAATCTAAGAGAGCTTATTTTTTTTTAATTAATCTCTACACCCAACCCTGATATCAAGAGACGTATGTTCTACCCAATGAGCCAACCAGGTGGTCCAGAGATACTTTATTCTTATAATTTGCTGTCTCATTTAAAAAATACCATAATGATGATGATGATAATAATAATAATAATAATTCAAGTAATCAAGGGCAGTTTATTTAAAGGAACAAGTACAGTCTCTTTGTTTAAGAAATAAAATTATAAATTCAAAACCACTTCAGAATAAAATGGCACAACAATACAAACAGGCAAAAGTTAAGTATTTATGCCAATAAGGGAGACATAACCGAAAACATAGGCATTATCCAAAATACAATATTCTAATAGCAAATTAGGTTAGTCTTATTTTCCATAAAATTTTTTTACTTATTAGTTTACTATAAGGAAGAAAATTAAGTTAGAATCCCTCTTTAGTTTTTACTACTCTGGTAGCAGGATTTATGAGTGGTGAAGAGGAAAAAATAAATTGGAATAATTCATAGCCTGAAAGTAACAAAGTTTCTTAAACCACATTTGCCATGTTTTTATGAGACCAAAATGTTTCAAAAACCTGTAAATTGAAGTCTTCTTTTCTATAGGTCTCTGGAGAGAAATTATTGCAATATTTAGTAACTATTTTAAAAGACTGCTTCCCAGAAAGCATCTTGCCTTCTCAATCAATCGCTTCTGATCATGCTATGTCGTGTTTTCAAAGACAACTAATTTGCTTTTCTTTTTTCTAAAGAAACATAAAAACCGCCTTTCAGAAAAAGTATATTAAACCACTGTTTGGTTTGTTATGGACAAATAGCAATAAATTAATAATTAGATTTTTAAAATTCTCCTCAGAAGAATGTTTTGTTCTGTTAACTAGCATTAACTATCCTAAGGCTTTATTGGAACAAAGATGGCAACGATTTCTTCCCTTCAAACAAACAAACAAACAAACAAACAAATAATGTTGTAAGACTGAGTTTTACAGATGCTAAAGCTTCCCCCATGAATTTCTGTACTTTGGTCCAGCTAAGCCTCCCTCTTACTCTTGAGGTCTCAGGCTCATCTAGGAACTCGCCTCCTTGGCCTAGAACTGATAAAGCCAACGGTGTGTTAGCACACAGAAGAGTGCCAGGACACACAGTGCGGACATACATAAGGCCGACTCAGACCTGCAACTTCTTCGTGGAATAAACGCCAGAGAGAAAGCAAGAAGAGAAAATAAAGATGACCATACCCAGACTGTGCCCACGACACTCAAGGCCAGGCAAAAGATCTTCAGGGAGAACATCTTTTCTAAGGGTGGGGCTGCCCTTGAGGAGCACTCCCACTGAAAGAAAGGACTCCCTCCACTCCTGGTTCCCATCCTATTTAAATCTGCAAGGAGGTCTGATTAATCATTATCTTTGTCCTGTTTAGACAGTCGATATGCACGCCTACATCCCTTGCTCCTTCTCTGAGGTTGGTGTCCTAGAAGTTCTTGCTCAATTCTCCCAAGCGTGTTTGCTTTTGATAAGTTGTTGCAAAGGTAGCAGCAATTCCATGATGATTTCACATTCCAGGAACAGGATGACTTTAGAAACGCAAAAGGAAAGGTAGGAAGCCATGCGACTGTACTTGAGAGCAAAAGTGGCTGAGGCAGGCTAGCAGGAGCCCATTGTGAACAGAGAGTTGGCAAATGATGTTTCGCTTAACGTAGGAATTATGGTTGGATGATCTGATTTTTAAAAAAACACTGTGGTGAGAGGCTGTCCCTGAAGTCCTTCTATGAGTTGCCTTGAACAGATTATTTTCCTCCATCCAAAATGGTTAAGACAGCCCCTGGAGCCAAACATCTTAGGTTCATAATCTCAGTTACACCATTTCCCAGCTTTTGGACAAATTACATGTTTTTATGAAGAATAAATGAGTTAGTCCTTGCAAAGCTTTCAGAGCAGTGATTGCCACATAGTAAGTACTTGGTAAATGTCAACAATTATTGAGGAACATAAAGTGCCATGAGAAATATCATCTCTGTGTGTGTTCCATTGGGGACATGCCAATTTACTTTCCCTGCTCCTCAGCTCCATGGGGAAGTTTTCCGGGGCCACATTTAGCAAACTTAAACAGAGACCCAGTTAAATTTGAATTTCAGATAAACAACAAATGCATTTTAAGATAAGTGTGTCCCATGCAAAATTGGGGAGATACTTACACCAAAAAAAAAGTTGTCGTTTATCAGAAATCCATATTTAACTAGGCATTCGGTAATTTGTCTGATAAACCTGCCTTGCCTCAAATTCTGCTTCCTATGTAAAGTCAATTCTGATAATAGTAATAGCTAATATTTATTGAATGTTTGCTAAGTGCCAGCCACTTTGCTAGAAGATGCTTTACAGTGTACCTGATTTCATCTCTCCACATAAAAGCAATCTCTTGGGGTGCCTCTGTGGTTCAGTCAGTTGAGTGTCTGACTCTCGATTTCAGCTCAGGTCATGATCTCAGAGTTCAAGGGATTGAGCCCTGCATTGGGCTCTGGGCTGACAGTGCAGAGCCTGCTTAGGATTCTCTCTCTCTTCCTCTCTCTCTGCCCATCCCCTCAACCTGTGTTCTCTCTCTCTCTCAAAATAAATAAACTTAAAAAAAAAAAAAGAAATCTACTCACAAGAACATTAAAAAAATAAAAACTAATCTATTGTTCTTCCATACTGCAATACTTAGAGGGACCCTAGAAACCTATCTGGGTTCTGAAAGGCAGTGATTCTATGGAAAGTTATAGGCAGTGACTTAACCAGCAAAATGCCAGTCATGGATAGAAACTGGAGGCTTGGCCTCTATTAGATGATTTTGTGTGCTCACAGAAAGTGTGCCACTTGGGAGGTGAGCACAGTCTATGGAAGAGAGCAACCTGGGGGGTTTCAGGTGATTTAGTTGAACACAACCTGATTGAAAGTCAGTGAACAGAAAACAGTCTAACTGAATGCCACTGCTCTGGGGCCACATCGTGGCATTTCCAAGGTACCACCTTTAGCCTTTATCCGCACTGTTCCACAGTTCCCTCAAGTATGTGCACATCCAGGGCTCTTCTCAGATGACACCTTCTCAGAGAGACCTTCTTTAACCAGCTTATATAAAGAGCAGCCCCACCATTAACCCAGTTTTGTTTCGCTTTGTAATATTTTATCATGCAGGATAACGTATATTTGGGAAATTAGTTGTCTCTGTCTCCTCCACACTAAGCTTTGTGAGGCCAAAGCACACAGCCTAGTGCAAGTCTGGCAGAGAGTAAATACTAGTAAGTATTTGTTGGAGGAACAGAAGGCTGTCACAGTGGCAACATAATACGGCGGAAGAATAATGGCCTTTGCAGACAGTGAGATTTGGATTCTAGTTAAGTGATACAGACAAACTAAATTCTCTGAGCAGTTTACTTATCTGTAAGATGGGCTGGTAATATTTATGTTGCAGGGTTGTTTTGAGGATTATATAATATGGCATATATAAATGTTGAATATACACAGTAGGAGACCCAGAAATGGTAGCTTTTATTGTTCCTAGAGTGTCCTAGTGCCACGGAATTGAAAGTTCCCGTGTTCTCTCTCCAGTTCCGGAATTCTGTAACCAGGCCCTTTTGTGGCACTGTGGGACTGGGCACAATCACCCGATCACGCTGGGCCCTCCACCTATGTGTTATAACCTATGCAGAAGCAGGTTTTGTTTAGCCAGGAAGCCATGCAAACAGACAACAAATAATACAAGGAGTACCATTTTAAATATTTTTTTAATTTAAAAAAATTTATTTAATTTTTTTTTTATTTTTTAGTTTTTGAGACAGAGACAGTGTGAGCAGGGGAGGGGCAGAAGGAGAAGGAGACACAGAATCTAAAGCAGGCTCCAGGCTCTGAGCTGTCAGCACAGAGCCTGGTGCGGAGCTTGAACCCACATGTGAGATCATGACCTGAGCCAAAGTCGTATACTTAACTGACTGAGCCATGAAGGAGCCCATTTTTTTTTTTAAAGGAATACCTTTTTAAAAGGAGTACCATTTTTTAAAAGCATGTGACAATAAGGATATCTTTACAAGTGTATAAATGGCGGTGAAATCTTATAAATTTCCAGTTTCTTAAGCCAGAACCTCGATATAGTATTGTGTTTTTCCCAGAGATGACTATATCTTAATTCTTTAGCACTAATGAGAGGGATTATTTATCTTTTTGAAATTAATATTATATTCCACAAATTACAATTATTTAATTGCAGGGATTCATATACTTGCTATGCCATAACATCTGACGGGACTGGAATGGTATATAATGTATGTAAAAAGAATAGAAATTCTACAGCTGTCATTATGTTTCAGGGTTTTAATTTTTTTAATGTTTTTTTGTAAAATTTATTTTTGAGAGAGAGAAAGAGAGCATGAGTGGAAAGGGGCAGAGACAGAAGGAGACGCAGAATTCTAAGAAAGCTTCAGGCTCTGAACTGTCAAAACTTATGTAAGAAGAGTAAAATATATTGCCACTGTGTAAACATAACTTAACAAGCACCAACAAAACAAAAAATATCCTCAGCTTTGTTTTGAATGGGATATTCATCCTGCTCTGGGCTATATCCCAGGGAAGGAGGAAACATTTCTTTCTTTACCCATTTATTCTAAATGTGCTGAATTCTGAGAACAGTCCACTTACTTCTTCATTTGTTCAAATGTAATAATCCTTTACTGCATGTCTATTACTTGTCAGCCTTGCATGCTACATTCTTGAAATAGAAAGGCAATTCACATATGTACAGGTTTGTATCTAAAATTGGTGAACAAATCAATATGTAGGTAAGAAGTTAAGCCATATAAAACTGCCATTTTTGTAGATCCAAATGATAAATATGTGCAATTTCCTGTGGTTTAACATAATACAACACAACAGGAAAAATTCTGTAATGTGTATTCAAAGTACTGTTAAAATACAGAGCAGAGAATCATTTCTGCATTATTTTCCATTACATTTTGTATAAAATGTTCCCTAAAATATCTGACTTAATTCAGGGCTATAAATTCAAGATGCTTTTGAAAAAATAATCACTGTGTCTTCTAGCACAAATCTATATGAATCTGTGTGCCTTTATTACTGTCCTAATAACCAAAAGATAATGTTGCTTTGACAGGACATATTTTATCAAAACAATATTAAATGCACAGTTGGAAAGTACTAAAATTAATTTCTAAAATTTGAAACCCTTGAGGTAAAAATTGAGGCAATTCTGGCACTTAGAATACACTTTCGTGGCCTCTACCTCAGGTTTTACAGCAATGACTAATCTATAAAGGAATCATTGGAAAACACTGGCAAGGCTACTTAGCTTTGCATATCTGATTTTCTCTTTGTCTCCTACATTTCAAGGCCCTTGCAAAAGTTTGTTTTAACCAAGCTGTTTGCTGTGAAAAGTGAATGAGTGTTTGATGATGTATGTAGGAGTAACTAATGGCACTTTTACTTTTGGAATGTATCAGTACCCAGGTGGTTCCAGATAATTTCCCTAGCAATTATAGCTCCAGAGAAAAGATGGGAATTTCCTTAAACACACAGAAATGATTCTGAACTGGATTTACAAAGCAGAGGAGGCGGGGGGTGGGGGGTGGGGGTGGGGCTTTCCTTGATCTTTGGTTCTGTCACACTGTGTTTCTCTTTAATCTACTTAAGTAGGAAATAAATCCACTTTATTTGTTATAACTGAACTGTTTCCAGATTAATAACCATCTAATTGAATAGTTTCTTAGTATTTTTGAAGTAAATTTTATAATGATCCAATAATAGATTAATAATTCTTTCTCTGTTTTGTTCTAATGCATTACTTTCATGGTCTTCTGCTTAAGCCCTTTTAATCAAGTTTCCACTAAAGTAGTTCTGAGTATGTGTATGTGTGAAAGAAGCAGAGAGGGAGGAAGAAAGAGAAAGACAGGGAAGAAGGGGGGAAGGAAGGGGTAGAAAGAGGGATGGGTGAAAGTGAGGCCCCTGAGTATTTTTCACTACTTTACTCTTTTCATTTTTTAATTGTATTTATCAATTAAATAATTCATTTTCAAGATAAATTAATTTTACTTATAATATGCTTTACTAAATTTTACTAGATGTATCAAATTGTTTGTCTTGAACACACATTAAAGTGTAACTGCTTTTTTTGAAAAGTAAAGTCATTATAAAAATGAATAATCTATTAACGTGTTAATACCACCAACATGGATTCATTCTATTGTCATGCACATTAAAGCCATTAAATTTGGCATACTTCCCTATCGGTTTCACTGTGATAATTAGCTCCTTTGCTAATCTAAAAATTAGCAAACAAGATA